CCCGAAACCCTTTTGCATCCAGGCCTATTGCGACTGCCGGGTACCCTGAAGAAAAAGGCCAGGCAAAGCTGCAGCACCATTGACTGCAACACTCAACCCCTAAACCCTAAACCCCTGCGCCACGACATCTGTCCGTCTTGAGGCGGCCATGATTGAGAATCGTGGCATTGAACATCACCTGTCGCCTCATCGATCCGGCCATCCTGGGCCATTCCATCTGTGGCCAATCTAGGGGCCTAAATAATTACCTATACTATTTTTGGGGGGCTCCTTATTAGAATGATTGTATAATGGGCCCCAAAACCCTCTTCTAATTATTAAGGCCCCTACACCCGAAACCCTTATAGTAGCCCTTATAGAACCCTTTAAGGAACCCTGTAAAAGAGCCCATGATTAAGGTTTCTGTATTACACTGCTCAGCGAGGCTTGCCGGGAAAGAAGGACTCCCCTCCAAGGGGAAGCCGAACCGGCGCCACAGGAGGGACATGTCTTAGCATACTTGCTTGAGCAAAACAACTCCCTGAACCCCAAGCCCCTATAAACTTATTTGTCCGAAACCCTTTATGCAACTGTTGGGGAAGCTGTGGGACATGCAATTATCTTTTAAGATTTCCTGCTGCATGCAAGTTTCCCTGCTTGCTGCACCGCGCTCTCAGGCAGCTTCTCCTGCCTAAGTGAAGCTTCCATGCTGGTTTTTGACGCTCACAGTCGAACAAAGCCTGGCAAGGTCTGCAGCGATACTGTGCTGGCTTGGGGCTTAGGGTGTAGGGTTTAGGGTTGTGAGAATTCAGCACAACAAACGGCAAGCTTTAAGCAGTCGAACAGTTCCACACAGGGAGGTTTGCAATCCTGAGAAACCCCAAATCCTCCTTGGATTGTTAAACGGATAAAATGCAGCCGACAAGCAGAGACAGGAGCATTTGGTCCATCTCTTCCGGCTCGAGCTTTCCAGGGTTTAGGGTTTCGGGTTCTTGAACCGGGAGGGGAAGGTAGCAAGAAGCCCTGCTGTGGCTTGACATGCGCAGGGCACATTGGAGCCTACCGGGCATGCACAGTGCTGTATGTTTATCGGGGCCTTCGTGATTACAATGGGGTTTGGGGGGTATAGTATGCTGTATTTATGTTGGGACTATAGTGCTTTCTTGCTATTCCATAGGCCGCAGCAAAGCAGTGCAGAACTCAGCCCGGAACAGGCACCGTTCCCTTGCTCTAGACTCTAGATCGTACTATGGCGGCGGGCCTTGAAAAAGGGGGGTGGCGTGTGTTACCTGCTAGCCTTGCGGAAGTTGAAGTAAGACTCCTTGACGACGTCCCAAACTTTCTTCTCCTCCTCTGGCAGCGCGCAGTGGCAACCCAGCGCACCCCCCACCCAAAACTGGAAGGGAAGAGCGCGTAGCACTTCTGCAAGGTATACTGCACAATCTCCCGATTTGACAGTTTGCCTTTCAGCTTTGTTCAAGACCCCTGCATTGATGCCTTCAGCCCAGCAGTCCCTGCAAGAAAAGGAGATGTCGAACGAGAAGCTGCTGCTCTTGGACGTTTGATGCTATACACTATACACGGCTCGACGGTTCGTGCGGAGCAGCACCAGACAGCCTGACAGCACAAAAGCACACACGCACAGACATGAGCGACATGCATGCAGACGTCCATAAGTGCCACGTCTGTACATGCAGTTCTCCGTAGCTTGCGGAATGATACACAAGTGAATGGCACATATATTATGGGAACTGATCCGTGCTTGTGCGTGTGTGCGCCTTGTGCGACAAACTTGCATGTCTGCGCATACCTACATATGCACGAACGACAACCACAAACACACAAGCAGTACATGCTTCTAACTTATACACTATACACCATGTAATTATATGTGCGCATGTTGCCACTTGCCAGCATAACTGTATGTCTCCTACCGTATTAAGTGGTAAAGGATCGAATTTACCACCGCCCCCCCTCCCACAAATTCCTGGAAATAAACACGGCGCTCCTTCTTGGTAACGGGCGTGGGTTCCTCGGGCCACAAGAGTTCCTGCAGGCATCTGGGGGTCTTCCGGGCAAGAGCATCGGAGGGTAAAGTCATGGGCATCGGAGTGTGAAAGCGAATGGGGAACGAGCGAAAGAGAGAAGAGAGAGCAAAGACTGAGAGATAGCAAACAGAAAGAAGGACATACCGGACAGCGCATGCTGTTCTCGTGGAGAAACATGCTGTAAGTGTCGGTGAAGACATCGGGTTAGCCGCCAAGATATTACCGGACATTCTGCGAAGGTACATCTAGGCAAGCTACGGGCATGAAGCTGGAGAACCAAACTAGTCCCCTCAGAGGCTTAATACTTCATGTAAGACACTATAATCAAAGCCAGCGCAAACAAGAGGATTGCTCTGAGATCCTTCGCCGCCCCTTTCCGCACTGCACCCTGCCGTGGTGTGGCCGCAGCGCCACAGGCAGCAACCAAGCCGAGGCCAACGTGCGTTCCTATGAAGTGAGGAAACAGTATCACTCTATATATATATATATATATATCAGCGCCCCCAGTGCCGCCATCGGCCCTAAAATCATCATTCCACCGTTAGCGTTAGCATCATCACCACCTGTATCACGACAAGACTCGTCATCGTCGTTATCACACAAACACAAATCATCTTCAACACCATCCGCATGGAGGCCACTGTCACCACGATCATGGCAGCGCGATCACGACCGCTCTGAACATCACGACCGTCATCTTCAGCCACCGTACCGACATCGTCTTGTACCCGTACCCTCATCTCCAGCCTCCTTCGCCTCAACATCATCGTCATCGTCATCATAGTCATCATCATCACCATCGTCGTCGTCATCATCATCATCTTGAGCAGCCCATCATAATAAATGATACACAACCCGAGTGATGCTCGCCTCAGAAGACTGAAAGGCATGGCTTACCCACTCTTGGAAATCTTTTTTACTATAGTCAGACGAAGAAGGACAAGGCTAGGAATCGTACTGACAGCAAGGCTTCCTTAATGGTTACACAAGGAATGATCGAAACTAGAAAACTTGTGGATTTCGTGAATGTGCCACGTCGTTCTACTGCAAATATTGCCAAAGAGTGCCCCTTATTGTCCGGTCTCTTGGTGCTCCTAGGCTTTATGCGCATGTGCTTCCTCTCGGGACGATGATAGCCTACTGTAGGTCGAATTACTGGCTGGTGCTTGTGTACATGCTACAGGTTCTGGCTATTCGTTCAACACCACTCCCTAAATGCACCTGCTCGCCACGGCTTCGGCACCGCTCTGGCAAGGTGATTCGCCGGTGCTGCCGCCGAAATCGGAGCATGTCGTGGGACGGTTGGCTCGGGAAGCATTGCAAGATCTATAGACGCTGGAGCATGTCTAGCGTACTGGCCTGCTGCCCATGATCGTGATGGGTGGCATCTCGATGATGTTGTTGGCCTGCCCCTGCTTGCCCCTGCTTGCCCCTGCATCCATGACAACTGAAACGAAGCAGCATGTTGGAATAACGAGCACAGTGCAGCCACTTCTCTCGCGATGTTCCCAACGAGGGGGAAACCAAAACCAACAAAGTCTGAACAAAGGTTTATTAATCCATCTGGGTTCAGGTGCTTCAAGTGCTTGGGTTCCGGAAACCTACATTCAAAACGTTATACGGGTTTCCCACTGCAACCCGCGACCCCGACCGCAAAATCAACTCCCTCCCTTCCCCTGAGACCTAGGCTCAAAGACCTGTAGTACGGTAGGGGCCTTAATAATTAAAGTAGGAATATATTTATAATAAGGAGCCCCCAAAACAGTATGGGTTATTGTTTAGGCACCTAAAATACCTATAGACCATGCACTCTGAAGCCTTTTGCGAGTCCGCCGCTCCCCAAACCCCAACCTCGCAGTGGGTCCCAGCCCTGGCCTGCAAAGACAAACGCGAAGCCCAAAGCCTAACACATGCTTCCCAAAACCCTATAACCCTGAACTCTATGATCCTTTTTTGAGGGTTTCTTTCCCACCCGCCCAGCTGACAAAGTCGCACCGCAGGCAGTTTCGTCGTACTACACTAGAGAAAGGGGGACTCCAAGGAGGAATGCAGTCTTCCAAGATAACACGCCAAAGCCAAGTGTCAACCAGTACAAGTCGAAAGACTGTAGCCCCGTCGGTATCCCGGTTCCAAGTAGGGTTTAGGGTTTAGTGATCCTTAAAGCGCGGCCTCTCCAGCCCCAAAGTACTGGTCTCCAGGCCCCTGTACAGTGGCTGCGGCCTGCACGCTGCAGGGCAAAGCTACGTGAGTAATGTAGGAACCTGATTAAGAAGAAACCCCGTGTATTTATTAGGGTTCTTTACATGAATCCTATTATTTCGGGGGTTTCTTAATCAGGTTCCTACATTACATGTAACTGCCTGTAGTCCAATAAGTTCTGTCATTCGGGCTGAAAGTACGGCGATACGCTGACACAATGATCCACATGTGCAGCCTTGCAGTTAGACCGCGCATCTTTCCACAATTGAACTACCAGATCAGAACAGCAGCCGGTGAGACATCAGTGAATAAACCGGGGACATCAGGGGTCGGTTGTGTTAGTCTTTACAGTCTTTACTTCATGGTGCGGCGTCAAAGGCTTGTGGCTTTACATGAAAAAGCACAGATTGAAGCTAAGTACAAGCCAGGATAAATCAAGTCCTAAATCTATGGAGGCTGACTGGAACTGGAAACTCTCTCTCTCTCTCTCTGTCTCTCTCTCTCTCTCTGTGTCTCTCTGTCTCTGTCTCTCTCTCTCTCTCTCTCTCTCTCTCTCTCGCTCTTTTTGCATCCAGTGCCAGGCAACGCACGGGTAGGCTTTTTGGCTTCGACTCTCTCTCTCCACCGTCGCCTCAAGGGTGGTAGCTCCTCACCAAATCGAGCACCCTTCTCTCGGAGGGCGCGCTGTGCACCGCGCATCGTCACGGAGGAAGGGTGCCTCGAGGCAGCAACTGCAACTAAGCTATTCCGGACCTCAAGCCCCAAACCTACTTGGAGGTTCATGGGTAGTTATAAGTGGAGTTATAAGTCCCCCAATATAGGTTATAATTATAGTTACCCTACTTATAACCCTACTTATAACTACCCATGAACCTCCAAGTAGATCATGAACGAGCAGATGAAGCTTGTAGGGCATCTTGCAAGGAAGGCGGCGGTGCAAGGATTGACGCAAGATTGAAGGAAAGTGGCCGAGAGTAGGTGAAGTGACTGTGCCAAATCCCTTACTCGCCGGACCCCGATCAAGGAGCCTAGCGAGAACCCGGGAAGTTCAAGATCAGGTTCCCGTACACCTTAACCCTACCTTTAACCTACCAAAACCTCCTTTCTGTAGGGCATTTTTAGGGCTTATAAGAAACTTTGGTAGTTTAAGATTGAAGGTACTGATCCCCTAAACCCCTAAACCCTTAAACCCCAAACCCCTAAACCCTAAACCCCTAAACCCTAAACCCTAAACCCCTAAACCCTAAACCCCTAAACCCCTAAACCCTGTTTACCCTTCCCACACAGAAGACCCGGGCCTAGCAGCAGTCGGGCTGATCTCAGCATCCTCGTCGTCCGATGGCGGCGGGGCATCTGCCAAGGCTTTTGGTAGGGCTCTTTTCTGGGTTTAGGGTTTAGGGGTTTAGGGGTTTTGGGTTTAGGGTTTAGGGGTTTAGGGTTTAGGGGTTTTGGGTTTAGGGTTTAGGGATCATGGGACATAGTAACTAGGGCTATAAATGAGGTAACTCTAATTATAACTCCAATTGGGGTACTTATAACCTTACTTACTAAGTCCCATGATCCTCCAAGTGGGCTCTTTTCAGGTTTTTTAAGGATCCACGGGTGCATGTAGGACGTAGGTGCAGGTTTGGGGGCTTTTGAGGGCTGAGGGCTTTTTGGGATTTTGCGTCTTTGGCTCAGAATTTCGGCTTGCCCAAACGTAGCCTAGACCTTCCTGAGCCCCACCGACCCCAATAACCACCAAACATGAATAGCCACAATGCAAGACACGACCAAACGAAAGTTGAACATCCATAGACCCGGCCCCAACCCTGAATCCATTAATTCAAGGCAAGTTCCAAACAAGGCGCTCAACAGGAATCATTCCTGAACGCCCGCTCGTCCTTCAACCCAGTCATTCAGGTCCTAAACCAACTTCCTTAACCCTAAACCCCCACCAAACACCCTACACCCTGCACGGCCCCAGGCCCTGAGACCTCAACGTGCTCCGCGATTCCTAGAATCGAAAATCTACAGTACAATAAGCCTTCAGGGGGTTAGAGGTTAAGGTTTAGGCCTAAATTTTCATGAAGGAAGTCCGAAGCTCCGAGTCACATCAAAACGGCATACATGAAGGTACCTACAGTCTCCACTGTAGTTCCTTTTTCTGGTTTAACCAATTATATATATATATATATATTAAGGATTTTGTAAGGTACCCCCAAAAAGGAACTACAATGGAGACTGCAGGTACTATTATATAAATTCTTCACCGCCTTGATACCCCACTGGAAGCTCTCATCCTTCTCGAAGTCGCACACCCCAAAACCCAAGCCCCAACCTGATGGCCGTAATATCCCCACCCTAGGCCCCACCCACCCCCACCCACAAACCCCAAACCTGGTGGCCGGAAGAGGCCCCCAAAATCCTAAACCCATAACCCCTAACCTCAAAACGCCCCAAACCCTAAAAGCCCTTAAGCATGCTTACACAAAAACACTAAGACAACTCTGACAAAACAAGGCACCGGCACACACGCACACACAAAACCCTAAACCCTAAATACTCAACCCCAAACTCCAAACCCTAACCCCTAAACCCCTAAACCCTAGAAACCCTAAACCCCTAAACCCGATAAACCCTGAACCCCTAAACCCCCTACACCCCCTAAACAAGCCACAAAGCATCAGAGAGCGCCTCGAGGGGGCCGTGGACTCCTGGATCGGACCTGCGCTGGGAGGTCTTCGGGGGCCTTTTCCCACAATTCCTACATACGGTCTGGGGTTTAGGGTTCAGGGTTTAGGGTTTAGGGGGCATTTTTTCGGGGGTCCTACATGAAAGTTTCCGAAATTAAGGGGTTCCTTCTGTTGGGGTCCTTATAATAAGAATCCTACGATTTAGGGTGCTATGCTCGGGTCCCCTATTTTCGGAAACCCCCACATTTCTCAGTGTTAGGGTTTGGGGCTTGGGGTCTGAACCATTGAGGGCTTAGGGTTTGGCTTTTACCGTTGATGGTTGAGGCTGAGGGTTTCATTTTTCCCACTTGTGGTAAGGGTTTTTTTCCCTCTCGCATTGTTGAGAAACTATGCTCACGGCGAGGTTAGGGGTTTAGGGCTTGGGGTTTAGGGAGGCCAGGCGACTTGAATGTCTGCAGGTCGGCAGAACGGAACCACACAAGAGGACTGGGCCCAGACCAAAAACCAGATCCCGCTGAGCAGATGCGACCAATCCCGGCACAATTCCCGGCGCCACAAATCATCGCGCTGAGGACTTCTGCTGTCACACCATACACTACGGCGATCAGGTATAGGGTTTAGGGTTTAGGGTTTAGGGTTTATAGGGTTTATAGGGTTTATAGGGTTTATAGGGTTTAGGGTTTAGGGTGCAAGGATGAGACCCATCATGGGCAGGGGAATGCCGAAATCGAAGTGGCCGGTAATACCCTGATGTAGACGGCCACGGGAGCAATCCAGAGAGCCCCAACACCAGACGTGCCTTCGGCGGCTTCGCTTTCGGAGGCGGTGGGGGCTCCTCCACGCGGTGCGTCACTGCTCTTACTCGGACAGACGACAGGAGAGCTGGAGCGGGGTTTCGGGCATTGAGGTGGTTGCTTCGGGAGTTTTGAAGGGTTTAGCGTTCCTTGTTGTTGGAAGACTTCTTCTACAGAATCGGCCCGAATTGGTCTGTGGCTCAATGCATTCCGGATATCACCGGCAGCACCTCTTAAACCTGAAAGCTCTGAATACTGAACCTGACGATGGTGATGATGGTGTCGGTGATCTCAATCTATCGGCTTCACCACTAAGGCTACAAAGTGCGAATACCGAGAGCCCTTGTAATCATGCCGTGGGTATGTAAACTGAAGAACCTAAAGATCTCAAGCATGCGGCCCAAATTATTAGCACTACTCCGTTGGGTCCCTTCATTGATTCATTGATTCATATGTGTATATATATATATACTATATAAATGTATATATATATATATCCACACACTGAAACCTCTAACTGTAAAGCTCTGTTCGAAATCGTACAACGCCTGCGCCCGTCCCAGCAATCCTCGGAGGGCCCCGAAGACGTCCGAAGCCCAGCCAAGCCCACCCAGTCGACGCTGGGCTTCCCCTCCTCCTCGCGCCTATCGAGAAGTTGCGCTCTCACAACTCGGACAAGCCAGGCGAGGTTCCATAGGTTTGAGTGGGCGTGATACAGGCGCATGAACCTCTGACCACGACTATACAGATAGTAAGCGAGGGTTTAGGGTTTAGGGGTCGGAGGGTCTCCAGTTTAGAGTTTCGAGATTCACGACTGGGACATGCCGGTTTTTAGGGCTTCCCTATAGTCTCCACTGTAGTTCCTTTTTGGGGGGTACCGTATAGGATCTCAAATATATAGTTGGTTAAACCAAAACAAGGAACTACAATGGAGACTATATGTAGGATTCAGAGCCTAAGTCCCTGGAGGTTCTCTGGACTTCGAAGTTCTGATGAGTGAATCTGGCCACTCGCGCCGCCTAGCTGTCCTAGCGGGTTGCAGCAGTCTGCAAGCTGGCGTCGTCTGTCCATGCCTTGCCCCCTTAAAGCCCCAGGAAGCACATGAAACCCCTGTTTTTCAAGGTGAACTTGATGACTGCCAGCAGCCCTGAAACCTAAACCCTGCATCTTGATTTTTCGGGGCTGCCTTGGCCCGAAAAGCTTAACTGCTTCATCAGTGTAGGACTCCAATAGCCACAAGGTTCAAGGTTACATCCTTAGCCCTGGAGGATAGCCTACTTGGAGGACCTGACCTTCGAGCCTTGAGCCTTTTACGAAACCCAAGAACGCGGTCTGAGCCGCTCTCTGGTGCCCGCCACAAGTAACAAGGCAAGCATAGGAGATAAGGCTTCTCTTCCATGCGGAGATGCCGCGCTTCTTCGGCATGAAAAAAGCTGATGTCTCCCTGTCAGCGAGACTCTCGCAAACTTTCTTGTGTCACGCAGAAGCCCGAACTGCAACGGAAGGTCAAGCAGATACGGCAACCCTGAATCGCACAACCCCTAGGGATTGTGGTCCCATACACCCAGAGCCCTCAAAGCTCCGACCCAAAACATCCAATGCCGAAACTCTTAGCTTTTACCTCACAACTCCCAACTCTGAACCCCGAAACGTCTTGAACCCACTGCAAAGCCCTCGACCATAAAACCTAAATGAACCCTAAACTCCTGCACTCCTAACCCCAAAAACATCCTGAGCCAGCAAGCCCTATAGGCCCTGTTTTGAACCCTTGCTGAGACGGAAGTGGCCGGTCCACAGCTAGGCCCTAAGCCCTAAAACATACCCTAAGCACCCTAAACACTTACACTCCTAACCCCAAAATCTCCTGAAGAGGCCCCCAACCCTCAACGAACCCTAGGCCCTTAAACTCCTGAACCCTGAAAAAAGGCTTTCCGAATAGGGCGGCCTGTACTCTGCCAAGGTAGGACTCCGTCGGATCCAGGGAGCGACCTCTCACTTGCACTTGCGGTTTGGGTTTTAGGGTTTTTTCCCTCTTTTAGGGTTTAGGGTTTAGGGTTTAGAGTAAGTAATGTATGGGCCTTAATGCTTAGAATAGGGTTCCTTTAAAGGGTTCTTAAAGAAGTCGATAAGGGTTCCTACAAGGGCTGCTATAAGGGTTTAGGGCCTTCATAATTAGAATAGGGCTTGGGAGGTATATTAGATTCAACTATAAACATAATACGGAACCCCCAAAAAATGGTATCCCTATATTACCCGGATGAGAACAATAAGTGGCAGCATAACATTTCTAGTCAGCATGACATATGCGAACAATAGAAGTGGTAGCATAACCCTAATGACGGCACTAGTTCTTAGTATACTTACTATACTACGTACAAACTGTTGCGACAAGCAACCACAGCAATCGAGGCAGCAATCAGAAGAATACTGGCTCATAGTAAGGTGAGGTCAGGACGATGCTGAGCATGATGCGGCACTCTACCGGGTTGCCTATAGTCTCCATTGTAGGTCCTTTTTTTTGGTTTAACCAATTATAGATTACGGATTTTAGAAGGTATCCACAAAAAGGAACTACAATGGAGACTACAGGTGTTGCATGCTTCCACGACTTTTTGGGCGACCTGCGGTTGTCGGAGCAGGCCTGGGTCGATGTTGTAAAGGGAGCTGCTTGCTAATGTAGGAACCTGATTAAGACATCCTGGGCCTTTATTAGGGTTCTTAATCTGAACCCTAATATGTTGGGGTTATAGGGCCAGTGTTTCTTAACAGACAGTACTACTTTGACAAGGTGCAGAGTGATGTTGGACTCGACGGAGGCTCTCTAAGGGAAAATGAACACCGTTTCTGTCCACAGACCTACATGGCACATGACCGCTTCGCCTTGCGCCAATCTGCGCCCTTCCTCAGCGCAGCCTGGGACGGGGTACATGCTGGGGATAGGGCCCCCTGTGCGGTTGCAGTTTGATATGATTCCAAGCTCAACGGGCGTCAGAAAGTCACCAGGTGCCCGAAACATCGCACTACTCATCTTGACTAACTTTGAAACCATGAACCTTCCCCTCACACCATCAACCCAAGAACCCTACACCTTTGAACCCCTGAGCCCTACACCTGGAATCCATTTGATGTCGCACACATGTTCCCTGATCACAGAAGCCACAAACCCAAAGCCCAAGAACAAGACCCTAAACTCTTCAAACATACATGGCACAGCACGACCCCTAAACCTTAACTTGGAGGTCCAAGTGTGGGTATTGGTCTCCAAACCCTTTTGCGGGATATCCCGACTCCTAGACTCCTAGGCTATGTTGGCAGCTGAACCATGCCAGACTTACTAGGCACTAGAAGGCCTTCAAGACTTGCTAAGACCAAAACGGCTGAACCACTAGACCCTCCATCTCCTCAGCCCCGAGACCCCTAAGGGGGCCTTCACCTCCTCCACCTCTTCGAGGGTTTTCGCCTTCCTCATGGCTGGCTGCAAGTTCGGGTCTGTAGGCATAGTGTAAGGCTCAGAAAAGCTATGTGGGTAGTTCTCTAAATTAGGGTTCCCTTTTGGGTCCACAATGTAGTACGGCACCCTTATAAAAAGGATCCGAAAAGGGGCCCTAATTTAGAGAACTACCTATGTAACTGAGCTTTAACGTGTGCCGCGGGGATATGTTGCCTCGACAAATGCGCTCAATTCCTCATACTAAAGACATGAACCTGTGGGAACAGTCTTCCGCTCCAACTAGCAAAAAACATTGCGTCCGACAATGCATCAGCAACCCCTGCACCCGAACTCCAAACCTTGCAAGTCAGCGCGGCCTTGGCATGAATTACGAGTTGAAGTGCTCCCAAACACACTTCCGGTGCACGCATCTGGTGCTAAAGGGTCCCCTAAATGAGGCGAGTCCCTAAGCCCTCAACTCGAAATCGCAAGGGCCACTGAACTTTGAACGCTGAGACCCGTGACCTAGGGGTTTTTTCAGGGCTCAGGGAAGGAATACCTAAACAAAACTCACACTCGCCAAGGCTTTGGGGCGTCACCAAGGAGGAGATCTCAGCAGGATCCCTCCGTTGCAGCACCCACTCAAATCATGCCCTTACGGCCCAAGCGACCGAATAAGTAATCAGGTACTTCGGTCTCAGATAGCATGCATGCAGGTAGGTATTTGGCAGAGTATATGATGATGAGGCCCTTGATTCTTGATTGCTTAGGGATGCGTGTCCTCAAGCCATCATGCCTGAGTCTGTTTGATCAAGAGCCTGAGATTTGAATTCCTCAGCGGGAGGAAAGTCAGAATACTGACCCGGAAAATAATCACGATGAGAAAATACGCGGTCTAATCATGATAAGATAAACGTTAACTTATCAAAGCCCTAAATCCTAAACCCAAGCACGAATTTGTCGTAAGACCCAAGCCCCAAGCCATGCACTCTGCCAAGGTGCAGCACTGCTGACTTGATCTTGGACAACCTCTCCTAGGGGTTTAGGGCTTCGGCTTCTCATACAGGGTTTAGACGGTTTAGGGCTTATCATGTGGGGGTTGGGGTTTCGGCTTATTATATAGGGTCTAGACGGCCAGGGTTTATAATGTAGGGGTTGGGGTTTCGGGTCTGGAAAAAGTGTCTGCTGAGGGTCGAGGCCTTATTGCATTCAGGCAAGTGATGTTTTGCAAACTGTCGAATGACGCTTCTGAGGCGCAAAGTTGGACCGTCGCCATTACAAAGAACTGCGAACCTGCAACTACGAATGGCCAGTGCCGCTTCCATATCTCTTGCAAGTTCCACAATTCAAGAACTCGATACACGGCCGGAAATGCATAAGCTTCTAACGCGTTTGTGTCCTCAGCGCAGGCTCAGCATCAGCATCGTTTGATGGAGAGAGAGTGCCGTCCCAAAAACCCAAGGCAAAGCGGTGCAAAACCTTTCAGACACAGTTTCCACACCCTTGAATGGCTTCAGTGTAAACTCGTTCAGTCTGTGCTAGGTGCATGGACACAATTGGACCAAACACCAGTGATGCATCGTGAGTTTCAGGACTGTTCTCCGATTGTTTTGCAGGGACGCATGCTCTCCCAGCCTGCTGCAAAGCTTGCAACATTTTGCAAGTTTGGGAAAGCCGGATCACGGCCGAGCGAGGACTCGGGCTTCGCGATCCGAGAGGATAACCAGCGGGTGTCTTGCGTGCCCTATCCCAGCGCGCATAAACTAAGCCCAACATCTGTTGGGAACCTTACAAAACTGACATGAGACTTTGACACGCCTTCGGCGTCGGCCAAGACCTCTCAAACAAAAAACGTGTCGCTCTCGGGAAGGGTCTGGGTGTATGGCTGGCCTTTGGTAGAGCAGGCCTCTATCAACCACGACGGCGCGAGCATCTGGCGTGCCAGTTCGGATGCCGTTTTCCTGCGGTAGTTTCGCATGTCTACTCGGGCTCCTGCTGAGAGCAAGGAGGACACAGAATCCAACGAGCCACTCAGAATGCTAAACATCAGCGGCGTAGCATCGTAATGATGATATGCCAGCAGAGTGAGTCTGGACGGGCTTACCCGATGCCTTACAGCCATGACATTCATGAGAAGCCACCATCCGGGCTCCCGAATCTGTGAACGGAACTGTTCATTCACGTTCGCCCGAGCCTCTAGCAGCACCGAAACCAAGTCGGCTGCACCACCTCCAGCCCCTACGAGTGCAATGTGCAGGCAGTGTCGCAAGCTCAAAGCTGGATTCAGAGCCAGCATCTCCTTCATTGCACGAACACTTCCGCATACACAGGATAGCATGAAAGGGCTCAGCCCCGGCATGGATTGTTGATTCATGTTGGCACGAGCATGGCATAGTAGACGTACTCCTAGCGGATTGTCCCCTGCACATGCCGGATGCAGAGCACCGCCTCCCCAAGCATCTTTGTAGTTCACGTGAGCTCTTGCGCGGAGGAGCAGCTCAACGGCTTCATTGTTGCGAAAAAAGCAAGCCACTCCCAGAGGCGTCACTTTGGCAGGGAAACTCGCCTCTGCCTTGGGCTTGGTCGTGGCCTGGTTGATATCCACCTGGCGGTCCAGAAGCGCCTGCAGCACTACGAGGTTGTTGCTCATCGCTGCGAAGCAAATGGGCGGCCACCCTGCATCATCCCGCTCCGAGATGTTCCTGACGGGTGGAGCAAAGGTTCAGGAAAGTTATGGAGTGGTAACTTACGCAAGTATGCGGTCTCGGATTTTGGCTCTTGCGCTCCTGAAACCATTCTGATGCAGGAAATGGTCCAGCATAAAACCCTTGCGGTCAACACAAGGGTCGGTCCGAGTTTGGAATCCCGGAACAAGGCCGTCAATGGGCTCCATGTCAAGCACATGGAAATACACCGAGGCGTGTGAGTTGAGAAGGAACCGGTAGTTGTGAAACTCTCCATGGTCGAGGTAATGGAAAAGCTTGGACCAAACCATCTGAGTAACCATACGACCGATTCCCACTCTGTCAGCATCGAGTGTGAACTCCCCTTCGCCAGGTCCCTCAATTTGTTTACTGTCCACATCAGCCTCTGGTGCGTCGCGCTCTCCACAACAATGACGTAGCCACCGCCGTGCGTCGAAAGGTCCCGTGCTGCTCTCTCCGTGCGACACCACCTGGACTTGATTGCGGAATTAGAAGCCGGCAAACCTATTTTTGCGAACGAACTTATCGTCAAAAGGAAAACGACACCATTGCAACTTAGGTGCCCTCTTTCCCCCCAAGTTGCAAGGCTCAGCGTCCGCTGCTGGTCTCTGTGCTTCAAAGCCGGGCATAGCACGACGAAGAACTCGCATCTTGCCACGTACTCTGGGATGCGTTGAATGGCATTCTGGCGGCCCTCATCGCTGCTCTGCGGGATGCTGAAGTAGTCATACCAAATATGAAGATGGCCGAGTGCGAAGTCCGACGCGGTGGGGCGTCTTGTGCTTTTAACCAGGAATTCTGTGACCACAGGTAGAGAAATTTCACTTGTTCCAGCAGCCAGGTTCTTGAGCGCACCTTGCAGGACTTGCAGTTGCTGGAAGTCGGGGTCCGGGTGCTTGTCACTCAGCCACTGGTACGACACAAACATCGCCTTTCCCAGACTTTCATGAAACTCTGTGAGCACACCGGCATCTGCGAGCTCCTCGTGAGTGCTGACTTCTGTCATCTGCAGGAAGGCGACGGCCGGCACGGTGTACATCCCACTGGCGTTGCCGCCTAGGCTTGAGACGTCATCTGCGTAGCTGAAACACAATGTGCAACAAGCCTACATGGTCGCTGCGTCTACGTGTTCCGGGTTGCGTGCTTCCGGGCGGAACCGCTAGGCTTTTATGCAGATGCAGCGCCAAGTTGTGGTTAAAGTCACCTTCGAGCCTTTGAAAGCGTGAGCCTGAACAGTACCAAGGCGCCCGCAATGCATTCTGAAGGCTTCGTGCGGTGTTTGTGCACCGTCGACGCAGACCGCCCAGAACACTGGCTGTCCATGGCAACTTATAAAGAACTGGGCTCTAGGGTTTAAGGTTTCAAGTTTAGGGTTTGAGGTTTAGGGCTACTAGTGGCTTGCTCTGGACGGAAAAGCCTGTCTGCCAGGGCGGCTGGCTTCTGGAAAGCCGACAGCGGGTCACAGGCGTGAACATTGCACAACAAGGGATCTTCAATTTCTGCCCTAGCCATCAGTTTTGTCCTCAACTTCCCAGGCCCGTCTCTGTGGGCTTCAAGGTGTCTGGCAGCTCGGGACAGGAAGCCGCAGGCCGAATCCCAAAATCCAAACACACAACTGCAGACATGCATCTGCAGCTGGGGGTGGCGGCCTCGGACGCACCAGCAGGGTTTGGCATTGAGTGAGTGCTGCACGGCTTCCGGGGATGTTTGACTTCGATAAATGTCAAACGAAGGAGAGACGGATATGGGCATAGACGCAGACATAGCTGCAGACATCGGTACAGTTAAAGATAAAGATATCGATAATCTATGATATATACTTACTTCAGATGCAGCAGTCGAACAACAGTGTACATATATATATATGTAGTTGTCAAAATTAGGGTCTCTTTTGGGGTACCCTAAATATTAGGTGCCGTATTATAAGAAGGACCCAAAAAGGGACCATAATTTTGACAACCACCCATATACATAGTGGAGTGGAGTGGAGTGGAGTGGAGACCAGGACAAAGTCCGGTCGAAAGGCGGTATCACCTCCGGCCCGAAGGCTTAAGGATCAAACCTAGGGTTTAGGGTTTAGGGTTTAGGGAAACAAAACAAAAATGTGCTCCAACAGAATCACAACAGAGGTTCTAAAGTTAAAAACACAGGCTTCGGGCTATGCACAAGTGCTCGTGTATGTCTCCTGGATATGTCCGCCCTTCCATGAAATATCACAGACTTGCTCACTCGTTTGTGCCACCGGTCCATGTCGGATAAGTCGTTCAACATGCTTACTTCATCTAGAGAGGAATTCAGGACCTTGCTGACCATGTTTTTAAGGAACTGAAGATTGCTGGTAATATGGTTCATAACAAACTTGTTTACAGTAGCAGCAACGCGCTCATGAAACGGGAAACTCATAAAGTCTCGTGCGACCATTCAGAGCGGCGGATTCGCCGTTTCAGCACAACCCCTACACCTCAAACCGGGAAAACCTCAGACTGGGGTTAAACCCTAAACCCTAAAGCCTAAACGCCTGCTGAGGTTCTAGGGTTTGGGGTTTGCCACCGGGGTGCCCATATTTCGCGTCGAAGTCCTGCAGCCAAGAGATCTCATTCTGAACATGTCAGCACTCCTAGTTTAGGTTTAGGGCTCACAATTGTTTGCCTCCCAATAGGGTTTATAATGGTTTATAGGGGTTGATGGGGTTTAGGGACATCTTGCACATGGGCTCCTCAAGCCGATCCAAGGACTGATCCGATCTGCACCAAATCTCATGCAACATGGAAGACATCCATGTAATATAGGGGACTTAATAATTAGAATAGGGCTTTGGGGCCCCTTGCCCCTTATACTAGACTTGTAATAAAGGAACCCCAAAAATAGCATAGCCAATTATTGAGGCCCCTAAAGTATGCACACGCAGCAAGTGCGCAATCTCTACTGTTTCATGTGCCTCATTCTATCGATTAGGCTGGAATCCACATACTTATAGACACTACGTGAAGGTCGGTATACAAGCAACTACTGGAGCACATATTCGCCCATGTGTATGCATGTAGTTCTGTACCGCAAGAAGGGTAATGTAAACACTGTCAATATAGTACTCAGGTACAAAAGACGAGTCTTACAGACATGCAGGCAGGCAAGCAAACGAACAAACAGACACAAACCTGCGCACAAAAACCAAACACTGTCATGAATACGCCTCTTCTCGCTGATGGACAAAGACTTGCATTGCAGTAGGACTATGGACACTGTGTTTTAATCCTTATCATGCATAATGCAACAAAGCCCTCATCAGTGGTACGCAAACGCATCGCCTCTTCATCGCTGGAGCTTTCCCCATCTTCGCCATTGCGGCTCTTGAAGTAGCGCTTCACCTCTTGTCTGGCCTCCAAGCAAGCCGTAGCAGCGCCGTAGCAAGAGCACATGCAAGTTTCATAATTAGTGGTAACTGAAGCGGTACCAGTCGCCACACACAAGCACCGCAAGGACGGAGGAAGTGATACTTGCAATCGAAGAGAAGCAACAGGCATTGCAAGAAGCATCGGGATCATGCCTGTGCGACCATCCATTCCACGGGAACATCAACAAGAACCATGCCAACCACCCTGGCCTCTTCCCACTGTGGGGGCGCTGGCTCCCCGAAACTCCTTCCGTCGTACAAGTTTTGGGTCCCATTCGGGAGTTCAGTTGGTGGAACATGTGGACCCTGCTGTCTAGATCTTCCTGTGAAACTGGGCAAGGCAACTTTCTGCGCGACTTATAGGCCTGCTTGAAAACCCAACCGAGGGCGCAAACAAACACAAAGAGTCGTCGTTCCTACTCGAAGGAAAGGGTCTCACGAGCGCCACAAAAAATTGACTCGACGCTTATCCGCCCGTTGAACTGCGGCCTATGCTGCTGCTGCTGCTCGTTTTCTGGATTACGAAGATGACCTTGATTCTACACCTTTGCCCCAACAGGAAGGCTTCCCATCAGCCCGCAAACATCAATCCCAAAGTCTGCCCTAAACCTCTAAACCCAGCAACACCAGTATAGGAGCCTTAGAACAGGATTTGGGCGAATATTATCCTATAATTATGCTGAATATATATATATATATATATATATATATATTTATATATATATATATACATACACATAGTGTGTATATACATATATACATATAATATATATATATATATATGTATATGTATATGTATGTATATATATATATATATATACACACCTTCATATACATATACACAGGCAAGACTAAGCCTGCAGGGCTGAAGCCCCAAGCATGAAATCCT